CATGCAGGAACGCTACGATGTGATCGGCGATGTGCAGCGTAGTCACTTTCAAGTCGACATGAGTGTTGCTACGCTGCTAATCGGCGCTAAAGTAGTCGCCAATAGTAAAATCGTAGACCGACCTGAGGGGGCCTTAAGGTGCCTAAAGTGGATTTGCGCCGCCTAAAGGCTAAAAGTAAAGGCCCTAAGCATGCATTATGATAATTTTATCCAAATGTTTACCAATCAATTTAAACACTTTTCGACAACCCACCGTTGCATCACTATCAAAGAAGAGCAAAAGATAATACGTAGCTTAGGGATCATAACCACTACTACAACAATAATGACCGATTAATAGGCCTAGTCTCTCATCGCGCCAGACACCGCTAGGCGTCTAATTCTAATTCTAATTTCTTTATTATGAATAACGTAAATAAATAAAGTAGCAAGCAAATGCCCGCTATCTTCCATTGCTGCACGGGTTTTCTACGTTTTTAAGACACGTACGGTAGTTTACCCTATTCTAGTCGGTTTGATTCTTGCTCTTATATCTGTTTTCCTCACAGCATCTGAAAACATCGGCTACATTATTTCCAACAAAACTTTCGCAGGTGCCTTGCTCGTCACTTAGATGCGCATCACGTGGGTGCGTTGGCCAATGACAACGGCGGCTTAGTAGCCACCACGAGATGTCGCTGCGTACTCATCCACACTGAAAATGATGACGCAAAAAAGTAAACATTAACGAGATCGGACCACTTCGGCTTTTTCCGTCGCCAGTGTTGTCAAATCTGTTTAGCACAATTTTCCGAGAGATGGCGCTACGACATCGACCGCGATTTGAGAACAGCTGATTAGGTTGTTGTTTACAAAGTTATCCTGTTTAATTACTTAATAACGAACATACACTCACCAGAAAATCAATAAACATCTTCAACTGGCACACATGTACATATAAGAAACGACATACCGTAACGAACTTCGATAGAAACGACTAGTAACGAAGTAGAAATGAAGCAAAGATTTTTTGGCCCTCGGGCTCAGTTACTGAGCAGCGAGCTATGGCTAAGAACTTAGGTTGATATCCTTGCCAGCCTTGACACATATATCAATTACTGAACCAGTATTGCTACTAGACTAGCATGAGGCTGATTTCACTTGTGCTGCGGGCTATATCACGCAGTGACGCACGACCTTATGTTCATAAGGTGTCAGACCGGCCACTGCTGAACTGTTGAAGTCCGTTTGCTGTCTGTAAAGAACTGTTGGCTTGAAAATGACTACGGTAAAGAAGATCATAGAATGTGTGCCGAATTTCTCGGAGGGAAAGAATCAAGAGGTAAGACTGAACGCGAATGCTTCCACGTGGCGGAACATGCATATATGACTGGTAGTTACAGCCAATTTTATGCGCTAAGGGGGACAATAATTAATTACTACTTATGGTATATAGATCATGACTGAAAGGTTCTGTTGATTGCTAGTGCAGCTGAGAGCAGAGAGGGTCTGTCCCCCAGGGTACTGCCGGAACGTACTCTGGGTACGGTCCGGTATACCGGAACGTACACTGGTACTATCAAATATGCTGGACCGTACCTCGCCTACTCCACTAACGAGTCTAGGGAATCGCCTACGCCTACTTCCTAGCCCTAACCCTAACTCTAACCATATCAGATAGTTACCAGGGTACGTTCCGGTATACCGGACCGTACCCAGGGTACGTTCCGGCAGTACCCTGGGGGACATAGACCCCATGAGCGCTAGTGCAACCTGCTAAATGGCGGATAGGCTGGGATAAGCCAGAGTTTATTTCCGGTTGGTCTACTCCCATTTCGCCTACGACAAAATTCCTATTTCGCCTACAGCAAAATGCCCAGTTGGCCTACACCCATTTCGCCTATTCCCAATTCGTCTACGCTCAAAATCGACCCCATTCCCATTTCGTCTACGATCGGTTTGTTCACTAAATAATCATTTATAAATAATAAAGTATGGTTTTGATTGGCATACATAGACTACAGGAACCAGAAGAAAACATAGGTACAATTATTGAGAACACAACTTGACAAAAATAGAAAATACAGTAGCATAAAAATGAAACAATGGGAGTAGGTGAAATGGGAATATTGCCGATTCTGGGAGTAGATGAAATGGGAGTAGGTAAAATGGGACGTAGGCAAAATGGGTGTAGGCGAAATGGGAGTAGGCCAACTGGGATGTTACCTAAGCAAGACCATATGTTACTAGGTGGGGGTACAGCGAGAAGCGGGTAGGTGGACTGGATAAGAAGAAAAAAAGAATGATCCTAAAAAAGTAGTAACACATGGAGGAGGTGTTATAGGAGACAAAAACTGGGCAGGAGGAGGAGGAAAAATAAGAGGAGGATGAAGGGTAAGAGGGAGAGAAGGGGGGAGGTAGGGGTGAAGTGAGAGGAGGAGGAGCAGGAAGAGGAGGGGAGGAGGAGGTGAGGAGGAGAAAGAGGAGAAGTGAGAGGAAGAGTAGGCGGGATAGGGGAGGAGCTAGGAGCAACAGGTGGGGTTAAAGGGGGAGAAGGGGAGAAAGAGGAGAAGAGAAATAGGAAGAGCAAGATGGGTATGGGGAGAAAGAGCAAGACAAGTTAGATGAGGAGAAGGAGGAGGAGGGTAAGGGGAGGAGGAGCAAGAAGAGGGGTAAGAAGAGATGGAGGAGGAGGGGTATTAGAAAAAGGAGGAGGGGTAAGAGGAAGAGGAGGAGCAGGACATAAGAGTGAGCTAAAAAAGACACTTTCATATATGTATATATACATTATATCAGGGGTTAATAATGACAAATTTTCTCATTTGTCATTATTGACACAAATTTTTCACATTGTCAATTGTCGCATTTGTCAATGTGACAATTGTTGCAATTGTTTGCTATTGGTGACAGTGTCACATTTGTCATTATTAACCCCTGATTATGTGCATATATGTGATCGTTCCCACGTGTGCACGTACGTACGAGTGCATGCATGTACACATACGTGTTGTACACATGTACATATTGTTCAGTCGTTTGCGACATTGTCATTGATGTGCTGCACTTTAGATCATGTTATGTGAAAAGGCGCAAATATAAATAAAATAAATAAATACGTACGAATCTCTACGGCAGATTCTGCGAGCGATCGCCGACGCGATCAGGGCCGTCGCTGGCTGCACCGTTCTCGACGTTGACCCGGGAGAATCGACCAATCGGACGGTGTTCACCTTCATCGGTTCGCCTGAACGCGGTCGTCCAGGGGGGCGCTAGCGGCGCGAAGAAAGCGTACGGTCTCATCGACATGTCGAAACACTCGGTGAGCTCACGCGCATCGAACATATTAATATAATTTATTAATATTATATAATATATAAGCACTATATAATATATTATTATAAATATATACATATGATTATTATATAAGAATATAGGAGAATATATAATTATAATATTATATAATATGTTATATTATAATAGAGTTGCAGTGTAGCATGCGAGAAGCTTCTGGACAGAAGTATATACCGTATAACTGGCTGAGGCATATTAAAAATATGTTTGTTTGCCCTCACCGACCGACCCGCTAAAAGAGGCGCGTCGAAATTTTTTTTATTGATCTTTTCCGGTTCTTTTTTTTTTAACAATTGTATCACTGTACATTATATAAATAGTGTAGGCAGTACATTATATGTACAAGAAAACAAACATTCAACATAAAAGGTCTTTCCACACAAGCACACCCCGAGCATGTAGACACCATGCTGAATTTGTAAAAAGACCCCTAAAAAAGCCGACCTACCTACCAAATTTTTCATCCTGGGTCAGGTGCAGGCAAACAAAGATTTTTTTAATTGTGGCCGACGGTGTTCCTAGTGTAGGGTCAGAATAGACATTTCTGTGTGAGCAATTAACTACTCCTTTTAATATGTTTTCTAGATTGGTCAAGCTAACCTGGTTTGTAATGTGTTTTTCGTGTGTGTTAATCAATTTGCCGACAGTGTCCCTTTAACTCCTAACTGCTAACCTGGGAATGATATGATCGTTACTCCCTAGGTGTGCCATCTATCAGGGAATATCACACCTTTAACTCCTTTCCTGTTAGTGCAACATCATTGCTCTTAAAGGGTGCATCTATCAGCAGGCATGAGAATTTTCGCACGGATTCGTGGATTTCCGCGGTTTTGGTTTTCATTTTGGTCATTCTTGAGATCGATGCAAAAAAACTAATAAAATTTTTGAACGGTGTACGTTTGCTTGTCAAAATGGACACCATGTTAATTTTTAACTTCATAAAATGTCGAAAAAGTACGTCAAATTTCACACAGAAGTGACGGAACTCCACAATAAATATCGCGGGGTATCTATGTAATTAGGTTTTACCCTATATATCCTCATACGTGCCGAAACTCGGCTGACAGTGGTTCATAGAAAATGATAATTCAATGAACAGTTTCCTCCAAAAATCTCTAAGCCGTTCTCATGCCTGATCAAGGGGAGAACCTATTCTCTAACACCTTTCATCCTCCCTGAAATGACGAATGAAGATGAATGAATTGATGAGGTTGGCGTGTAACTTGTTATTTCGTTAAGAGATTAAGGCTGCCAAAGGTCTATGTCTCCGGGTAGCTGGTATAAGCCGGACGTACCCTGGTACTATCTAATAATGCCGGACCGTACCTCAGCTACTCCACTAATGAGTCTAGGGAGTCGCCTACGGCCTACTCTCTAACCTAACTAACCTAAGCGCTAACCATATCAAATAGTGACCAGGGTCGTTCCGTATACGCGAGCCATACCCCAGGGTACGTTCGGCAGTACCCTGGGGATCGACATAGACTATCAGCGAGATTAAGGGCTCTTAAGGACCTCTAGATTAACATCTTTTAATGACACCTACCTATAAACGCCTTTCATCCGTGCATGATGAACGAATTAAGAAAGAATTAACGAGGTTGGCATGATACTCGTTAATTGGTATAATTGTTTAATTAGGTGCGCATCCTAGGATGGGAGCCTTGGACGTGTGTCCCTTCGTCCCCGTTAAGAACGGAGCGATGGATGTTGCACAGCAGTGTGCGAAGGAATTCGGATCAAAGCTGCTGACGAACTCAGCGTGCAGGTAAGCGAAATACTTTATACAGAGACGCCCCGACTTAGAACAGGTTCGGTTCCGAGCGGTCGTTCGTAAGTCGATTTGTTCGTAAGTCGAACATATGTACGTACGTATACAGTATTGTACAGTAGTGTAGTATATGTACATGTGAACATCGAGTAACCTTGAAGTGTACATAGTGTAAACATATACGTGAACACAGGAGTTGGCGAAAGTCAAAATCAGGGGGGCGATTGTGTCTTTTTATTTACCAATATTGACATTATACACTAATGGACTTCAGGGCAAATTGTTCGTATCATCGAAAGTTCGTAACTCGAATGTTCGTAAGTCGGTGAGTCACTGTACTCTACTTTCTGTTCTACCTTCTATCTCTTGTCTCTCTTTACTTACTACTATATCTACTTTGTCCTCTACACTTTGCTCTCGTTCTTTGCTCTTTACTGCCTGTTGTCTCCTCTCTACTCTCTACTCTCTCCCCTCTCCTCTCCTCTCTACTAGCTCTTTGATCTCACTCTCTATTCTCTACTCTCTACTCTGTCCTTTCTACTTTCTATTCTGACGATATTTTACTATATGGTTAGCCAAGAGATAATTTCAAGAGCTAATAATACCTAGGTATTATTAGCTCAGGCCAAAACAAAATATAGGTGTGGTTACGGTTTCCCGACCGACCCTATTTATTCCCAGCGACCCTAAACATGTTATTGTCAATTTTCTTTAAAGTAAAAAAAAAATTTTAAAAAAATGAATTGGACAGTTCTTGCTTCAAAAGGCACAACTACGCACATCCTTTGGACATGGTTCATAAATAAAATATTTCAAGAAAATAAAATGTTTTCCCTACCTACCTACTCAATTTTTTTGGGCATGTAACGGTAACCACACATATATTTTATTTTGGCCTCATTGTAATATAGATGATATTTTTCACTATATGGTTTTATTCAACATTACATATACTGATTAAGGCTGCTATGTAAATGCAGACGCGTGCATTCCTCTGTTGCACGTGAACATATCCTTTCGATATCCTGCTATCCCCGATCCTATCCTGCTCTTCCAGTCTTCCTGTATGGCTATTCGTCAAAACAGGATTACAGGAAGACGATGCCACAGATACGCTCCGGAGAATACGAGGGACTCAAGGATAAGGTAATGCCCGGGAATGCTCAGTATCACGTGCGATAAAGTTCAGGGGTCAATAATCGCTTAACGTCACAGTGGAAATTCTCCAGTATGGTCTTGCCATCTCATCAAACCTGTTTACCAGTCTACTATAGCTGTCGTGTAATAGCTGTGGAACCTGACCAGCAGTTTAATTACGTTCTTCTGGACTCGCCGTTTTCGATGCACCCGAATTTTTTTTTGCTACGATCGTTTTGCGGGTCATTGAAATTCACGTCACATAATGAATGCGCGAAACTTTCCCGCGACACTGAACTGCATCATGATTAAACACTATCCTAACTCGCTGCACGATATCATGTGTGTGTGTGTGTGTGTGTGTGTGTGTGTGCATGTATGCGTGCG